TAGTGTATCATGTTACTTTATGTTATCGGTCTGTGTACCGCTGAATGGTAGAGATAAGCAGCCAAATCTAAAGGAAACTGTACGATGCTTATACCTCCCCCCCCACTTCTCCCCCCCCCTTCTACTTTGTGTCAGAGTGGAAGAGAGTGAAACTACCAACCAACGAGTCAACACTCCTGCTCTGTTCTTATAAACTGGCTGCTGTCGGTTTCCTTCAGTTGATATATTCTGTTAAATTGTGTTATACTCTGACTAATCTAGTATGAAGACCAGATATTATACTCTGAAGGAGTATCTGTATGTAAGTCCGATTTAAGGTCTCTCTATAGCCATGTATTTCAAGGCATTATCTAGCAACTTGGTAATATAGATCGTGTGATGGATGGTTTAGAAAACCGACAAGTTGAAGAATTGAGACACTTCTGCAACATATGGACTGTAATAAAGTTGGTAGAATTACCGACAATATGTAAAGTAAAAGGACACAAGTGCAACTAATGTGACATTTATTGTGGCAACGTTTCGCTCTCCAGGAGCTTTATCAAGCCATGTATTGTTTGTAATGGCTTGATAAAGCTCCTGGAGAGCGAAACGTTGCCACAATAAATGTCACATTAGTTGCACTTGTGTCCTTTTACTTAACATATGGACTGATGAAGTCACTGTGTCGTGAAACATTTCTGCAACAAAGGTTCCCATATGTTGCATAAGTGTCTCAATTCTTCAACATAGAACGTGCAGTAAGCGTTCTTGACAAAGATATTGTATAAAGGTATAATTTTACTTGCCTTATATCTTATGATATAATTAACTGCTTAATTAAAAGAAGCTTTACTGAAGATTATAATTATATCTAACTCTGTCTATAGTTGTTATACTCTAATGAGAAAGTATATGATAGAGATCTTACATAAACCCGGGAGTGTAACAATGGTGCCATGGGTTATAAGGAGAGATAGAGGACATATACTATGGTACCATGGAATATAGCGATGCAGAACATAGGGTCATGGTGCCATGAGTTATAGAGACAGAGGGTATATAACATGGTGCCGTGGAATTTAGAGACATAGGGAGAACACTGGGTCATGATGCTATGGGTTATTAGTGCATGGAAAGGAAGTCAAGTCATGGTACCATGATTTGTAGTTTTCAGATATGTTTTAGATTATGGTGCCTTGATCTGTTATGGAAAAAGTCAAGCACAAAAATATAATTAATGTATAATATTAAGAATCAAATTTTATTTTCATTCAGTTATTTTTAAAATGTATATTCACATTTTATTCTCTCAGACCTCCTATAATTACACACTATATTATCCTATAATTATACACGGCATATCTCTTTTCACTTAAAATTTGATTATAAGGTGGCTCGTGACCTGGTTGGTATAGCTCTCGCTTCACACGCTGAGGGTACGAGTTCAATTCCCGGGGAGAGTGGAAAATATTGGGCCTGTTTCCTTACACCGGTTGTCCATGTTCCCCATCAGTAAAATGGCTACCTGGATGTTAGTGGACTGGTGTGGGTCTCATCCTGGGACAAAACTGACCTAATTTTCCCGAAATGCTCAGCATAACAAGCGGCTTTCTATATAGTAGTATGTCATTGATGTCAACTAGGACCTTGTACATGTACTTATAGAAATAAAGATTATTATTATTACTATTATTATTATTACTATATTTGGGCTAGTTGAGCTAGTTCGGATGCTATTTGTTATATCCTCCGTGTAGATCAGGCTCTATTTACTGGCGGAATATAGTTTTAACTAGAATTTTATGAAGACAGTGGCTTAATTAGAGAAGGGGAAATGTGGAGCAGTAGAGAAGTGTAAAGAGAAACAGCTGGAAAAAAATAAGGTGTTTATAAGTACGACTTTGGACACGTATCCCCTACATGAGACACTTCGCAAAGCCTCTGGTAAGTAAAACGTCGAAGGTAAAACGCCTCCTTCAGTTGTATGCATCGTTTTAGTGACTTGCTAAAGCTCTCTACGGAAGAGAAGTAAGTCTGTAAAAAAATTTACTCAGCATATAATGTTACTCTGGTATACACTTGATTACGTGCTGCCTCTCAGACCACTGCTGACTAAGCTCGCTGTGGCAGAGATGAGCATTGGAAAAGCCAGTCTTGATGAATAAGACAGGTGTGTAACACCTGTGTGTCTTTATGACGAACAGGTTTTTGCCAGAAAATGTGATACTTCAGTTCGGTTCGGAGATTATATACGGTAGACAGTGAGAGACGAGGTAATCAGTCCTTCAGCTTTGATAAGTGTTCAGTCCCTATGCCTTGATAGATGGCCTTCAGTCTCTATGCCTTGATAGGTGTTCAATCCCTATGCTTTCATAGAGGCTGTTCAGTCCCTTTGCCTTGATAGAAGGAGTTCAGTCATCTGGCCATGATAGGTGTTCAGTCCTTTGGCCATAACAGATGTTCATTCACCTTTGCTTTGAAGGCGTTAGTGTTCCCTGAACCTCGCTCAGCGTTCCCTGAGAATCGCTCAGGGTACCCTGAACATCGCTTTAATGATATTGACATATCTGATAAGCCTCATCAAAATGGCGAGGAAAAATCATAGTGTACCAGACATTGAGATGATGAGGAGAGAAGGAGCATAATGTGAGGCATGGAGGATAAAAGTGAACTTGACAGGGTGTAGGGAAGAAGACACAGTAGGGTGAGGAACTGATGAAGTGGAATGACAGGGTGGAAGGAGGGAGAAAGGGGACGTGATGTTGTGAGGGGCAGAGAGAGAGAGAGAGAGAGAGCGAGAGAGAGAGAGAGAGAGAGAGAGAGAGAGACTGATAGAAGAAGTAATGGAGGGGACTTACCAGAAAAAGGGAGTATGGAAAGAAGAATAAAATAATGTAAGATAGTGAGAGAGGGAGAAAGAAAGAAAGAGACGGAGAAAACTCCACTACTCTGCACGAACCACGAAAAGCTCAGCATATCAACGAGAGGGAATGAAAGCAAGTATCATCACAAATGCAGCGAATGTTTTGCAAGTTCTTTGCAAACTGCAACCACGTATCTGCAGGAACACTGCTGTGAGCGGAGGTACACGAAGCAATCCAAAGGCCTCGTAGACTGATCAAACAACCACGGAAAACGACGTTAATCCCAAACACAGCTTTACCAAGTTACATTAATCAACTTAGTATATTGAGCGATTTTTTTTTTTTTTTTTTGCGAATGTGAAACATACGCAACATGTTTGTTTTGGTAAGAGTAGATCAGTCCCTCAAGCTGAGGGATCTTGAGGGACTGACCACCTTCTACCAAGGCTGAGGGACTGACCACATCTAAGCTACTTCCTGCTGTCCGCTGCTAACAGCTGCCAACTGTGTAAGAATCTGCAGACAGTTTAAACATTTCGATGTTGAAAGAAGCTTAAGTCCTCTCCAGGAGTTGAGGGACCATCCAGAGCAACTTGGAGAAGCTCCAAAACTCCAAGCAAAAGTTGAAGAAACTTGCAGACGTAAGAATTATTTAAGAATAACATTGACACAAGAAGAGGGGAAAAAATAGAAACAAATTGAAAAAACTGGAAACATCTGGCAGTAGATGCTAAGATAGTTGTAGAATGAATTATCAAACCATACCACGGGCGGGGATAGAACCCGCGATCAGAGAATCTCAAAACTCCAGACCGTCGCGGGTTCTATCCCCGCCCGTGGTATGGTTTGTTTGCAATCGTGTCATTACGATTTCGTGAGTCATGAATTATCATATAGGTGTTGAATAAATTATCATATATCTACAGAATAAATTGTCATTTAGTTGTAGAAGCCACTATAGCTTTACCTTAGATATGCCTTTGATTAGTTCCTGGAGATTTTTACTCCCGGAGCCCGGCCATGAGCCAGGCTCGTCTGGTGTTTGTCTGGTCAACCAGGCTGTTGCTGGTGGTGTTCCACTGCTCCACATATCCATCACAGCCTGGTTGATCCGGCACCTGGTGAAGATTCCTGTCCAGTTTCCTCGTGAAGACTTCTACACTTGTCCCAGCAGTGTTTCAGATACCTTCTGGTAAGATGTTGAAGACCACGAATGTTGATACAGTGTTCCCTTATTGTGCTCACTACTCCCCTGCTTTTATCTGGGTTTATCTTACATTTACTCCCATATCTCTCACTCTCGCTAAGAGAGCAAAAATCACCAGGGAGTAATAAGAGGATCCACTAAGCTCCAACTGTCTAAATGCATTCCCATTATGAAAACAATACTCGGCCATAGAATTGGATTCTCCTGTCTTCTCTCCTCACTCTCGAGATGATCGTGGCTTCGGACGAGCCAAAATGTCGTCTGCTCATCATTTCTATTCGTGAGTTAGTCATCACT